AATAATATATAATAGTAAACATTTTATACATTGCTTCGTGTAAATTATCATTTCATTTTATTGTTGAGTAGATAATTGCTTCCTTCCAATTGGCTAATAGATATTTTCAAATTAGTATTACTATCCAAGTATTCCAAGAAGAAAAGAAATAAAAAAAGATAAACAAAATAAAAACTTGAAATGAACTCCAGGTTGTGCAATAAAATTACTTTGTTTACGAATCGCATGATCTAAAATTCCAATTTTCGTTGGACAAATATTTTTAACCTTTTTTTATATAGAATTAATAAATCCTATCTATTCACCTCGTTCAATCTATATATGGTCGATTTAAAGGAAACGGTTTCTTGTTGTCGACTAATCGTGATCAAAGCAACGAACGAGAGAGATTGTAAGAGAGAAAGGTTTTTGTTGTTTTTCCCAGCGTTAAATGCATTCGAGGTACAGGATACACATGGTCAACATCACGAAATGATTTGCATCTTGATTTATGGCCCTGCATTGGCGTAGAAGTAGCCGTTTATCTTTACACTTTTGCGACTAGAATTATAAAAAGTAGAAATATATTTTGCGAGCGATCATCGAAAAAATTAACGTGAACTAAATATTCTAGATATTATTCGATTTCTTCAATAATATTTATCGTTAAATTATGCGTATATAGGGTTAAGAAATAGAGTTGAATATTTCTCAATCCGTCTAATATTTTCCTTTAAAAATAATTCCTTTTATTTACGACGATATCTGAAGTTGAAACATAATAGTTTCGCATTATTTTCTCTTTCTGATAAATAAATTTTCACTATCATCCGTACGAAAAAAATTCTCGAGAATTTGCGAGTTTTATTCTTCGAATAAAACAAAGATTTCAAAAAATTCTTGCAAATTGATTCTCGAGCAAAAAGATTCTTTACTTTCGAGAAAAAAACCCCTTCCATTTCACTTTGATCAATTTATTCAATTCCAAAACACTAATCCTAGCATCACATAACGTTCAAAACTTGAGTGGCGCCGCATCCGACCGTGCCCTGCATGTAATCAGGGAAATTCGACTCGAGCACCCTCATGCTCCCCCTCGCGTAATCGGCAACGACGTGAGTGACGAGGTTGCACTCTGCGCTCGTGTACACCTTTTTGAAACACCTTGGATCGAAAGGATTGCTCGCGGCGTCCCATCTGTAAACGTCCGCCTCTCCCTCGTATCGGAAGAAGAGGGCGCTTCCGTTGTCCGTGCCCAAGACGACCATCTTTCTCGGTTTCATGCCGAGATCATGGATCCTCCCTCTCGTGGACCCGTTTCGAAGATGCTCCGTTCTTATCGAGAACATACGACTGCTGCTCAAGTAGGTGAAGATTAGGCAAGTGCTGCCATCTGAACGTCGGAGAAGGGCCAGATAGAGGACGTCTCTTCTGGTGCAGCCCATGCTCACGGCTTGCGGTAGAACGACTCGGTAACCTCGGCCAGAAGTCACGTCGTAGACGAGGATGGCTCTCGAGGCCGCGTCGGATACGTAGATGAATACTCTTCCGTCTTGAGTGTAATCGGATACCACGTATTGCAAACGAGACGTGGGGGACGTGAGACCGGTCAGTTCCACGGTTTTTATCAGCTGTGAGGGAGAGAAAGAGAAAAGAAAAGAATTAATTAAGTTATTTCTATGTGAAGAATTCTGGGGAGCACTAAATGACATTTCTGGGGAATATTGTGTGTATAATTTTCAATGGCATAAATTTGTATTGTAATTGTGATTGTGGAAGAAGTGTTGACAGATTTTATAATTAAATTTTTCTTTTTCAATGTAACGTTTCGTTTGGCGAAATAGGAGTGTTAAGGATTAGTTAAGAAATGATTCTATAATATGATCAATAAATTTTTTCAATACATTTATGTTGCAATAATTATGTTATAATAGTAGAATATTCCAATTTGAAATAAAGAAGTTTTATGTTCTTAATGAAATTTTCCTTAAAATTAATTTCAACTAAAAGTAAAACTTAGATTTGAATCGTAAAACATTATTTCAATTTTATCATTTAAAAGTGGAAATTAAATTTTGAAAATTTTCGATATAACGAAATATATTCTAGGGAGTACTAAAAAACGATTCTAGGGAATACTAGATCTCTAGAGTTATATCTATATAAAAATCAAATAATTTTTCAAGAAATTTGTATTAAAATTAATTGCGATTATAATATTTGAAAAAAATTTTCAATCAATTTTAGATAATCGTAAATTGAAAATATTTAATGTCAGCCTTATGTTGCGTTACATAATGCTTAAGAATGTGAAACGTGACCACGCAGTTAATCAAGCAGTAATCTCGATTGAATGCTTTGAGAGTCGTGATTGAAACGTAAGCATAGAGTTCATTTAAAACGTAGTATTGCTGAAAGGATACGATCGTGACAATATTTCGACCTCATTAATACCATGATTTTTATTTCATGTATTAAGATAATCATTAATTTATTCCCATTTTTAAGAATCTAAAATTGTATATTATTTCATCAATCTTAGTAATGATAACATTAGAGAATTTTTATATAACTACTAATGCAGACAATAATTCAATTTCGTTTGATTGGCAAAGATAAAAATACCTCGTACGTGTCAGGTGAAAGGATAAAAAGAACAATTCCTCGTAGAATTGTGAAACGGTAGCTATTATTTTACAATCACGCTCAGTTTTTGATATGTTATAATGCTTGCAATATGAGATACATATTTTTAATTCAATATTTATTAATAAAATTAAAAATTAAAACATGTCCAATAAACTGATATTTCATTTACTACTTATATTCTCATTTTTTACTTTAAAAAAATACCTTGAAAATAATATGTAATTTTGTAGGTAAAATTTCAATCATATATCAATACGTAATAAATAATGATAAATCACGTTATAAACATCTATAAATCATATCAAACTTGCCTCTATCATAATTCTTCTTATTAGTTAAAACGATATTTAATTCTATTAAATTCAAACAGAAGATGTAAAAGAAAAATCAAACCACAATAGCATACTAAACCATGTTACAAACTAGTAATTAAACACGCTAGTAACTAAACATGCCTCTAGGGTGCACTACATCATGAATTTAAAATAAGATTGAATAAGAGTAAACAACAAGAGTAAACAAAAGAGGATAATCATAATTTCAACCAATTTCAATATCACGCCAAATGATAACAAACAATGATAAATTACTTTATTCCTAATAATTGAACTTGTCTTTGAAGTACATTATTAATATTTTTTATTACTTTATAACCTACTATTACCAACTTAAAGGACAATTAGATTAATTTCTCGTGGATTGAAACAGAAAATAAAAAAGGAATTTCATCAACATGCTAAATAATAATAAATTGCTATAAAATAGATTACAGTTAATAATTACACTTTCTATGAAACAAATCACTAATACAAAAATGGTTGCTTTTTCTTCCCCTTCTAAGTTTCACTTTCTGTTATCTAAAAATCTATTTTGTGTATTTTTTAGAAATAATTTTTTTTTATTTTTGGTGATACTGATTTTACAAATGATAGCGATACCTTACCTTTCCTGTGGTAACATCGATGGCAAGAACCTTTGCTGGACACTTGCGTACAGGTTCATCCAAAGTGTCCACTACTCCAGTGTCGAGGATCCAAAGAATGTTTTGAGGATCCAGATAAAGATCTACTACGTTTTGCAAAGCCGTGCAAGTTCCTTCTTCCTGAAGGGACCAGCAAGGGTAAGGAATCAAAGTAGCTTCGCAGTTTTGCGCCTTCTTAGAAAGTTTCGCCAATGTCGCTGGAATACCTGCCTTGAACCTACATTGAAAACCAGTTTGCTCGAAATCAATCAGATTTAATAAACGAGCCAAATGTTAATTGATACAAAAATTAATAATGTAATTTTCCTTTACATACATATATCTTTAAATTTTTACTTATAATAACAATAATTTTTTATAACGCAATCTTTTGCTTCTCTTTGTTATTAATTCAAATTCAATACTAACTTTTTGAAGCCAAGTTTTTGAATTTATGTAAAATATGTTAGCAATTGTTGTTATTTAAAAATTAATAAAATTTAAAGATAACAATATTAATTTCATTTTTAATTCGTCATTTTTAATTGATCAGTTTTTCATTAAAAGAAAAATTTTATTCTAAATTTTTAAATTTACGTATTTCAAATTTTTCGCTTCAACAAAACACAAGATAAAATTAGATAAAAACTAATGATCGATTACGAAATTAAAAAAAATCCATGATTCGATATTTTTTCATTTAAATGATTCATTTGTACCTTGGCAAAGCCACGATGGCTTCGTTGTTATGCATCGCGATCCTAGTTGCGATCACGTTCTTCGAAATGTATTTTCCATTACTTTTGTACATATTCTTAGTGGTTGAGGACGGCCACTCGAAACTTCCGCCTGTCCATTTTATGGTTTCCGGCAACGTCGCGTTTCCGCAATTAATTAATTCTAGAACAACGACCAAGATGGCCGTCAACGTGAACGCAGGCGCAAAGTGTCCTTTGATGTACATAGTATTACTTACGGCGACTAAACTGAGAAATTTTTAATATTACGCCAGTTATATACGAAAAGTACGATGATCCACCAACAGTTGCGAAATACAGGAAGTAACGTTGTTGCTTTGCATATCTTCGACCCGGAAGGATGATGAAAAATGCGAAAAATGTTTAAAAATCATCCTTAAAGATTACGATCATTGACAATTGTGAATCGTTAATTAAATTGTTGGTAAAATGATAGTGTAATTTAATATATAGTTTTCGACAAAATACACTGGTCACGTAAATTTTACGATGTTTTTTTCCGATTTGTTTATAAAATTATCGAACGAAAAAAGGAAGCTCATCTCACGATTCAAGTTTTCATTATTTAACAAACAAATTTCGAGTGTGTATAACTTCCTTGTTGCTCTTGGAGAAGCAATTTGTCGTCTCGTTCGGGCGGAAATGTTGCGACATCCGGAAGAGCAAAAATGTTGCTTCATAATGCAATACTATCGGTCATTGATGATACTCTTCTGACACGTTTTGTATATAAGCATACGGCCAGATATAAGATTCGAATATTGGAACGGCCGTGTCATTTGCATCATAATCATCGTGTAAGTTTTTAATTTCTCTCGACAAAATTCTCTTTCTCCATTCATGATCTCCTCAACGATGAATAAAATTTCCTTCTCCGTAATAATAATACCCGAAATCTGAATTTGATCGATGCATTAAAACTTTTCTTGTTTAAATTAATTTACAATAAAGAAAAATTTTTTCAAGTATTTTTTTTTTTCTTGAATTTCCCTTAATATTAATCGTTTTAAAATATCGATAAATTCAACAATTCAAATCTACAATAAAAATTCACAATCATTTGCACGTAAAATTTTAAATATTCTTTATCTTTATTAATTATCATTACCATTATTTACAGCCAGAAAATCTATTTTCCAATAGAAGCGGCAGGATGAACAGGCTCCTATGCGTCATCCTCGGTCTAATCAGTCTAACGAAGATCATCCAGCCGGGCGACGGAACGCCAGTGTTGCCACAACCACTGATCTTCTCTGGACTCAGCCTGGACTGGCCATGCCAGAGCACGAAGAACATTTACGAGACGAGTGGTCGTTACATAGCAAGGAACGTGATAGCCACGAGAGCCCAGATATTCGAAGACAAAGCGATCTTGGCTCTGCCGCGTTACAAACCCGGTGTGCCGTTCACTTTGGGCATCCTCGATTTGAAATCGCAGAACAATTGCGAACCGAAAGTGGCGCCGTTCCCGTGCTGGGCCATCCAGGAGGAAGGCAATTGCCAGGCGTTGCAGAGCGCCGTCGACATTGTTTTGGACGTGCAAGATATTTTATGGGTCCTCGACGTTGGAATCGTCAACACTCTCGAGCAACCTGTGCGCAGATGTCCGCCCAAGGTCGTTGGAGTAAACGCTAAAACAGGGAAGGTAAGCTTCAATTTAGGCTAGTGTGAAATGATCTTGAGGTGGATTAAATTTCAAACTTGTTTTTGTTGTTGACTCGATTTTGTTCTCGATATTTTCAAAGTGTAAATTAATATATGTTATATAAATGTTTTTCTTTTATACTTCTTCTTTTTTGTAGATGTATAATATGCTATTTTGAAACATGATTAGATAATGAAAGGAACTTTTCAAATTGATTTTTATCGATTAATTGTACAGTCAGATAAGTTAATTGTCATAAAATGTGAAGGTAAATCGTGAAATTTAAATATTGTAATGAATATTTTTTGCTGGAACTGATTTACCATTCAGCTATAAAATTTTCTTAATTTAAAATCCTATATGTGTATCTTTATAAATGCTCTCAATAATAATTCACAATTTTACTAACTCTCATCTAATCAAATCATTGGCCATTATTGACCCATATTTCTGATGACATAAATATTCAACTATCGATATAGATTAAAAGTGATTTGTAAGTAAATTAATTCTTTATTTCACATCATAAACGTCATCGACATGACCCCAATAAGTATCAAAAAAACTTGATAAATAATTAATTTTCCATTCCAATTTATAAAAGATAAATTGATCCAATAAGAGTTAAAAAGGAGTTTTAATTAATTTTTCATTTTAATTTTAATTGCAGGTTGTAAAAATAATCGATCTGAGCTCCTTGGCGGATATAAATTCTCGTCTCCAATACATGGCCGTTGATTACGCGGAAGATGGCCAGGTGTATGTGTACATATCTGATGCCGGTACAGGCGCCATTATTGTTTACAACGTGACCACAGACACTGGATATCGCGTGGTGCTTCCTGCAGCCGTGGCAGGATGCACGGACAAACCTGACGCCCTCTACATAGCACTGGTCAGGAGGGAGAGCTGCGGCCCAGTCCTCTACTTCACCTTCCTTGGATCCAGCAGAATGTTCGCGATTAAGGCAGTGAATCTGAGATCCGGAAACGCGAACGGGTCTATAGTGGACATCGGTGGGAAGAAAAATAAGATCGTGCTTCTAGGCACCGACAATGCGGCCACTATTTTCTTCAGGATCAAAGGTGAGGAATTTTAAAAACTATACGAAATCGCGATTCAATCATCTTTTCTTTATGTTATCTTCGACTGATCATAGTTTTGTAATATGAGTAAACTGTTCAAATTAGAAAGAGAATATTTGTAGTCGATCATAATATACATAATTTTGAATCACGTGCTTTTGGTTTTAAGTTTTATGTTACAAAATTTAGAAGATTTCGATAATTAAAAACGTGCAATTGCAAAAATTTATATTTACTTTTTGAATGGAAACAATTTAATTATTCTTCTAATATTATTATAAAATTTTAATCATATGTTTTTGGCAAAATTTATATCTATATTTCGATCAGCCAGATAATTAAATGTATCTGTAATTATTTCTATTTTAGTCACTTGTTTATAATATGTGTATAATGTATAATATATCTATTGTGGAAATAAGCGAGATATTGGAACGTATATTTTTATTCTTTTCAGGTGATTCGAGTATTTACATGTGGAATACCGACACACCTTTCGTGCAGGACAACTTTTTATTAGTCCAAAAAGCTGATGATTGTCGCCTGCCAACGGAAGTTATTCCTGGCTACAGTGATTTGATGTGGGTGATCGAGAGCAACTTCCAAGATTACATAGACAACAGTGTCAGCTGTTCCGGGACATCGGTAGCTGTTCATCCACTAATGAACTCTAGTTAATAATACTAATAAAATTAAAAAAAAAAAATACGAAAGTAACGCCATTCCACGCTATATGTTTCTAATTAATTGATTATTAGTCTCTTAAGTGTTGCAGGATATTAAAAATCAAAACGTTTTAATATTCTATGATTCAGAAGTTGTAAATAACAAACGTGCAATTGATTAAAATCTTAGACAATAAAAAATTATCGTGCAGACTACAGTTGGCGCTTGAATGCTTAATCTAGTCATGAAAGGAGCTCTTTTGTGAGCAGTTTGTGTTTGACTGAATTGCTTTTCGAGAGAGGTCGCAACTGGACAAATATCAACCAGTGTCGAATGGAAAGCTTCGAGAACCATTTTCTCAATGGCCGATTAAAACGAGGCAAACCTTACTTACTTGTGGAAGAAACAATGACATTTATGCAAAAGAAATAAACGTGTCTTTATTTTAAATACGAGTGTATTTTTCAATCAAATTTCTATGTTCCTTCTTTGAAAGAGCTTTATTTTAAATTATACCATGAATATTTTAAACATCGTTAAAATCGAAAAAAGAAAAAAATATATATTTGAATCGTATCATGATAAACATAATTAAAAATTAAATATCACAAAGATCATATAATGGCTAAGAGTATTAGTTATAATACTTACATACTAATTAATTAAATCTATATATGACAAATTTTAAAAAGAAATATAAAATTTGGTAAAAAAAAAACATTTCATTAAAAAATAAAAGTATTGTATTTTTAAAGATAAATATTTTTATTAATTACTAAATAAATAGTATTTTTTTTAAATTGAGACACCTTATATAATATTAAGAAAAGATTAATATTGCATAATAAAATAAAATTAAAATTTAATAAAAAAAAATGAAAATACATTTTAATCATTTTATAAATAGTTTTCTTTAATTGAGATATTCTATATGATTACTACTTTCTAATGTTAATTGTGTTAACAATTCAATCATCAGTTTAATTTAACAAGGAATTAATTTCAATGACTGACGCTAATCTTATAACAGATGACAGGCTTTCAGCAAGAATTTCAACATGATCTATTTGATCAAATTTGTTACATTATAATCACGAGCAAAAAATGGATCACCATAATTATTTGATAATAAATTATATTAATTATTAAATATGAATTCATTATTATATATATATATATACATATATTTGTCTTTGAAACAACTTTTGATTTTTTGTATCGATATGCTGACTAGTTTAATTAAAATGCGTTAATAACAAGTTGTTTTTTTGGTTTCATTTACATTTTTAAAACATTATATCTTATTTGTAGTTTCAATTTTGATTATTATGAATATTATAATTTTATTTTAATTATGTTGAATCGATAATGGCTAGGTCCTAAAAAATTTGAAATATAAAAATATGTTGTTTCATTATCATTTTAGTGTCACATTCAATGTTATCGATTCAACACAGGATAAGATTACAATTATACGATAAAAAGAATAGGTGCGACATCTTGCAGTATTTTATGTCATTTGTTCTGTAATACCGACTTCAATAAAATCAGAATATTCTTTCTATCTTCTAACATGTTATAAACTATATCAAATATAATAATTTTTCAAATTTCCTTCATTGATTTTTTTCTTCTTGTAATAAAATAAAGTTTTAAAAAAATAGACACGAATAATAAAAATTGAGAAAAATATTTTTTTAAACTATAGAATAAATATGAGAATATTTTATTTCCATAAATCTCTTAATTATATAAAAAGATAAATATAATCCAATCATGTTTGCAGCCAATTAACTCATATTACTTGAATATATTATATAATTTATAAATATATCACAAATGTTAGCTATATATAATCATTAATAATGATCTATTCATTCTTTTTATGTTCAAATTTAATAAATTCTCTTTTTAGTATATATCTAAAAAATATTTAAAGCATTTTTGGTTGTACAGAATAAGAAAAAAAAGACAAAGAAGCAAGATAGGCATTCCACAAAACATTATGCTATATTAATTGTCTACTTATATATATATATATATATATATATATATATATATATATATATATATATATATATATATATATTATATATA